ACTGGGGTGTGCTGATGGGGCGGGGATCGATCCCTCCTCCCCGTGAGCGTTTGACTCTGCGTGCTCATGGGACTGTATTTGTATGAGCATCACGGACACACAGACGAGTGTTACGGTTAATGCAACTTTCTCGTTCCGGGCAAAAAGTGGACTTTCTCCAGCCGAAGCTAGCTTTTTAAAGTTGACTCTCTCGCTGCTGTCGATCTGTGGCGAAAGGTGACTTTCTGGAGCAAAAAGACCGCTTTCTCCATCAAAAAGACAGCTTTCTCCACCAGAAAGACAGCTTTCTGGCCAAGCAGCCAACTTGCTGCTGCCGAAAGATGGCTTCTTGACCCAAACCGACACAAGACTACAACCGCTTCTTGAAGTCATCAACCGAATTCGACCCATCCAGCAGGCAGAAAAGGTCTCCCTGCCCCTCAGGAAAGAACATGTACGGGGCGGCCGGCAGTGTGCACACAGAGGACACAGGAAGCTCGACGGCAATCGAGGCATGCGACATGCGCCCAACCACGCATCTCATACGCGCAATGATCCGGTTTGCAGCTCATTCTGTCGGTTCTCTCTCGACGTGAGTCACCCAGGCTGCACTACAAGCGGTACATTGCCAGAAAACTGACCCAGGGGGGTCGGAAACTGTGTTCTGTGCGGAAAACTGGGGCCCCACGCGGAAAACTGAGCCAGGGGCCCGGAAAACTGGTGCTCTGCAGTGGAAAACTGACCGCCTGCGTGGAAAACTGGCCTTTTGCACTGGAAAACTGACCGCCGACGTGGAAAACTGGTGATCTGACCCGGAAAACTGGTTTTCCGATGCCTGTACGCAGTTTTCCAGTGCCTGACCCCAGTTTTCCACTGTCTCCACCCAGTTTTCCATCGCCTGACCCCAGTTTTCCACTGAATGTACCCCAGTTTTCCACTGAATGTGCCAGTTTTCCTGTGTTTGACCCCAGTTTTCCACTCAATGTGCCAGTTTTCCAATGAATTTGCCAGTTTTCCGTTGAATGTGCCAGTTTTCCAATAGATAAACACGAGATCGGACGCAGCACGCACCAGTCAATGCTTTCTGAAGTCAGTGAGAGAGTTGCAAAAGTCAGCCACAAAGAATGTATCCCTCTGGCCCTTCGGTACGTACATATATGCTGCGGCAGGCAGAGAGGCGACTGTCTCATATGAGTGCTCCTCACGGCCGACTGTCAGGGACATAGAACCGTATGCACAGCCACATCCGCCATGCCATACAAGCGGCACTTTGTCTCCCCTCACCCTCACAATCCTTCCCTCCTGTCTGTCTACCTCCTTGACCACAAGAGCAAAACGATAGTCACCAAGACGAAGTAACCGATTGACCTTCACATCATGCCCCCTCTTCCCCTCATTTGCCAACAGAGGCACAGCAGGAGGGGCGTCATGCAACTGCCTAGCTGTGTCAGACAGTAGAAACGATATGCGATGAAGATACGATCGCAGGTTAGACAAACCCAGATTGCGATAGTTGCTAGTTCTCACCCATTCTTTCACCACACCGTGCCATGCCTCGCTCGCAAAACACCATTCCTCCCTCACAGGCCCAAATCGCCATACATCGAGTGGAAGATGGGCATAGGCATGCAGCTTTGGGACACCACGAGTGTACAGCCCCAGATACGTACCCATCCAATCATCGACCTTCTCAGCCAGGGAACAGAGATCACGCAGAGAGATCTGCTTCTGCAGCAGTATGTTGATGATCTCACAGTGCGTCTTGAAGCATTCAAAATGCTTCAGTGCCCACTCTCGCTCATCACTCCCCTCCTGAGGCAGCGACTCAAACAGGAGGATGCGCAGCTGCGGGGCGAGGTACATGCGTGCAGCTGCAGTCGCCCCACAGCTGTCAGGCGTGATCCTGCTCGCCCGATTCCTCGACGACTTCTCACAGTGCTGGACGCGGCCATGCACGTCCCCTAGGTCAGCAAGAGACAGCCACCCGTGATCGATCCAGACATTCAGGATGTTCTCCATCTCGTACTCCAGCATCCCCTCAAGGACGTTGTGCATGACATCGCCGAGGGCACAACTGAGGATCCCGGTGTGGCGCGAGTCACGGCAGGGCGGACAGACAAAGGTGCGAGTAGACGATGAAGGGGCATTAGCAGCGATCCCGACGCACGCTCGATGGAACGAATGAAAACTACGGCAACAGAGACAGAGTGGCATTCATTCATTCCTTCACTCACTCACTCACTCATTGCTTCACCTCACCATTTGCTGCACGTGACCATTCGCCTCAGTCGGCGGTCAGTGCACACGCCGCAGTGCTCCGAGTCAGCGACTGGCAAGGTGAATGGCATCTCACGCCACGGTGTTGCTCCCTTGATGCCCGTCTCCTTGGTGAACACAGGCCGTTTGGCAGCAGGCACGCGAGCCAACTTGTCGACGCAGGAGCAGTGTGTGCCTCCTCAGCGAAGCCGGTCAGCTCGTTCGTCTCCTCCAAAGGGCTCTCGGCCGGACCCCCGCCAACCAGATCCACGATTCAGCGGTTGCTGGGCTTCTGCAACAGATTCCCGCGGCAGGGCAGCCACCCGTGCGTCAGCCACGCCACAGCAGCAGATCGACAGCCCACAGCAGCTCGCCGACCGTGCTGCCCGTCTGCAGAAGGGCATCCAGTCGCTGCAGGACATGCTGAATGACCCAGACAAAAGCAAAGGTACGTATGTGGCATTTAGACTCAGCTGAGGCACAGCTCAAGCTGACGCGGCTGTGTGCTTCTTGATGCAGTCGATTTTGTGGAGAGCATGCAGAAGAAGCCAGGGTCGGCTTCGCTGCAAATGAGGGGGAGCTGGCAGCCTCTGATCGGACACCCAGAGCACATCGGTCAGTCACCGGATATGGGTGCTTAGAGGAAGGGTGTCATGTTCCCTGTTCTCTTCCCCTCATTAGGTTCGGTTGTCAAGCACGCCCTCTTAGAGACGCCCACAAGCCTGAAGGACTATGACGCGACTGAGGTGAGGGTCAGGGAGAGGGTGTCTGCATCGCGGCATCGGACACTCATGTGTGTATGCGCATCCCTTCAGGACTTGGATCAGCTCGCGAGGCTCATGGCCGATGCCGAGTTCACACCCCGTCCCGCCGGCCAGGGTGGGCCGACTGCCAAAGATCGCCGTGAGGGGATCCACCAGCTCAACCTTCACTTGGAACCGGAAGGGGACTACGAGGAGTCGCTCAAGCTCCAGTACCCCTGCATCATCACGGAGGGACCCGAGGCACAACTGACGCACGAGGTGTTCTATCCCCTGAAGGAGCCGTCCGCCAAATCCGGCAGCAGCCCCTCCCCTCATGCATCAAAGAAAGTGCACACGCACCACGGGGGTCGGCTCTGTCTGGGAGAAGGTGAGGAATCGAATCTGGCCGAACGCACACAGCTGTGTTGATGCGTGTGAACCCATGTGCAGATGCAAGTATGAAGCCCGAGGAAGGTTTCTTTGTGGTGTTCGACGGGGAGCATAGCAAGGGCATGTCGATGGAAGAGTACGTACGGATACACGCAAACCTGGCTCGCGTGGGAGTGTGCTCACGTGTGTGTCCTTGACTCAACCTGTATTATGCAGGAGCGTCAAGTTGCTTTTCGTCTTGTTTGTTGCGGTGTTTGTGGATGATCACGCCATCGTGCATCACGTTCAGCTGGGTGAGAGGGAGGGTGGGGAAGGAGAGATGGGGTGTGCTCAGTTTTCCGCGTGGGGCCCCAGTTTTCCGCACAGAACACAGTTTCCGACCCCCCTGGGTCAGTTTTCTGGCCATGTGGCGCTTGTAGTGATGGTCAAAAGTCGTCATTCTCATTGCAAAGGTGTGATTGTGGCCGGGCAGCTGTCAGGCTGGTCAAAAGGCTGTCATTGTGCCTCAGAAAGCTGTCTTTTTGGGTTCGAAAGCTGTCGGTTTGGGTCAAGAAGCCATCTTTCGGCAGCAGCAAGTTGGCTGCTTGGCCAGAAAGCTGTCTTTCTGGTGGAGAAAGCTGTCTTTTTGGTGGAGGCAGTTGTTGAAGTTGCTGTGTGCCGAACACACACCGTGGTCAGAAGGATCAATCTCTGCCGTACAAGCCTTCAGGCAAGGCACGCAACGCACGAGTCCATCATGGGCATGGCCAGCCCGCCAAGCAACACACGCACGAGAGCTGCCAACGCTCACCGGATATGCACGAAATAGAGAGACAGCTCTGCAAGCTAAGCAAGCACAAACCCTGCTGTCAAAACCCAACACCCCTTCTCACCTCACGGCGAAGCTGGGAGGTGGACAATCATGCATCAGAGGCATCACTCAACAGCATAGAAGTGAAGCGCTTGTGTTTTGCACTGTCAAGACTCTTAGTCAGTAGGTCAGCCGGATTCACACTGCCTGAGTACAGGCCTGCCTGGTACTCAAAATGAGACGTCCAAAAGTCGCGATCAATGTGCTTTGTGCGTTGTGTGGCTCTCAAATCGCCACGCAGCTCCTTCAATGCAATGTCATTGTCACTATAAACGGTGCACATGGCAGGCACACAGCCAGCATTGACAGGCAGAAAGTCACGCATTACATTCTGTATGTATCGGACACTCGCGCCACATGCAGCTACAGCAGTGAACTCGGCTTCAAAAGCACTTCTGGCAGGTGTTGACTGTGCACGTGAACCCCACATGACAAGACAGTCGGCCAAAAACAGCACTCTACCTGACGTCGCCC